GAACCGCTTGACGAAGCCGTCGCCGCCGTGACGAATCCCGTCCGGATCGTAATTATCTCTTTCGCGATTATTTCTTTTCCCGACCGTAGAAGATGATATCTCGTAACGAGCATCTAAATCGTCCCGCTTGTCTATACCGTTGCTGCCGCAGCTTTCGAAATGCTCGCTCAAGATCCCGAGTTGCACGAGAAACAGATTGCAAAGATTGGTATGCAGACTATCCATCCCAATGATGGCCGTCATGCCGACGGAAACAGTGCAGGCCTCGACGAAGAAACCGATCATGTGCCACGGGTACTTGGTCGTGTCGAATGGATACAGTGCCCTGACCGGAAGTCCGCCATCCTCCACAGGTACGAGAAACAGCAGGGCGATTACAAGAAAAAAGCCCAGCGTGCTGAATCCGTAAAAGGTTACGCGACATAGCAGCAGATACTTGCCCAGAATTTTGTCCTCGCCGCCAACTTGAGTAATGTAATTAAATAAAAAAATAAAAATATATATCAATTAATTGTAATCGCGCGTAGTTAACAGCAAATATATGAAATATTAAAATACATTGAAATAATACATTTCCGATCGAGTACAACGATCGGACGAGAAGATAAGGATTCAAGAAGAAAGTACAATCTTAGTCATGATCAATATTGCTGGTGTGTATTTTCTGCGATGCGATATTAGAATTAGTGAAACACGATATACAGCTTCAAAGAAACGTCACGTGTCACCACAGATGTGTATATCAAGCGTGATTATGCAAACTGTCGAGTAATTCTGCGCGAGTGAGCGCGTAGATCTTTAATCGCGTGTCAAGGAGATACGTCGCAACAAGGACTGACAGAGGAAAAATTACTCAAGTGGTTCTGAATTAACGGACAACTCTACGAGCTGAAAGATGGCCCTTTCGCGCACTGTCCCTTTCGACGCGCGGATCTCATTAAAGCACAAAATTACGCACTGTCCAGTCATCGTATTTACTTAACAGAGAATATACATTTATATATGACTCGGCATTTAAAGGCCCAGTCTACTCTAGCAGAGAAAAAGATAATTTGTAGGAATTTTTAAAAATAATTATTGAATTTTTGAATAATAATATTTTTGAATATTAGAAATTGATCTTTCTAGCGTTTTACGTATGTTTTTATCGATATTTAAATAATACATCAGTACTTTTACCGGAAAATTTGCAGAGTTGATCGCAGCCGTCGATAGTTTCGCAGAGCAATCGCACGATCTGCTCACGGCGTGTTTGGAAGATCATCACTTTGAAAAACACGACGACGATCCCGGCGAAGATGCATCCGTCGTCCGTAACGATCGACAAATCGTCGAAGCTCGAACAAATATCAGCCAGCAAAGTCACCATGAAGACGAGCATAATTATCAGAATAAATTTGTTATACGCAAAGTATAAACATTTCGACAGCGCGGACGAATCGGAATCAAGAGCCCATAAGCCAATGTACCTGTGAATATAAAATATAAAATGTTAAAGGATGATCACGTAGAGAGACGAACTTTAAAGTTTAATCAAAAAAAAATCGTAAATTGCAATATTAATCGACATTAATTTCGAGATGCATTTATTATAGAGGTTAACGAGAGACAATATATATTAATGATATATCAATATAATCTATAAAAACACACACATACACGTGATGAACGATCAATCGAACACGCACGTACGTGATATAATATATATGTAGTGGATTCTCACTTGAGATAAGTGATGTGCAGAGCACTCAATTTTCGAAACTGCTCCAAACGGCTGCTGGTCGTCCTTTGTGACATTCCTACGCAACTTCGGCTTCGTGACTACGACAGCGATAAAGGACACGTGCTAGGGCATGAGAGGTCACCTATGTCGCGTGGGTGCAACTCCTCAAACGGCGTATAGGTTCAGCGTTGCATCGAGGGTTGTCTGAATTAATACTTTCGCCTCCCAGCGAAAAATCACCCGTGATAAACCAGGCACGCGATTTTATTGTCGTTCCTTCGAATTATAGACTCTCCCGCGCCCTCGTCGCGACACGTGCGTCGTTTCCCTCGCTTATTCCTCTCTGTCGATAATTTACTAAAGTGCCGGTAATTGCACTGTAATGCACTTACCCGCAATCTCCCCACGATTCGTTTCATTTCATACACGCTTGACAGATTGTTTTACTACGGAAAGAGGCAAATGTACGGAAATAATTTACCAAGTTGCGATTGACGAGCGTCTGAAACGATGTATCGTTTTCCACTTAAAGAAATAAGCAACTCGCTTTTTTTGCAAATTTAATGATGTGTGCTTTACTATAGGACGATTTTCACACACACGCATTGCATCTATAGCAGTATCGTCAATCGTGTTGAATTTATATCAACGACGTTTTTGATTTACAGCCGGTAAAAACGGGAAATAATTGCTACAGACATTTATGTATAATTATACAGACTTGATAACTTTTACGTTTGGTAATTGTAACATTATAACATTTAAATAAAAATAAAATAATTTTTTCACGTAAAAAAAAAAATTAGATTCCGGTACCGGGAATCGAACCCGAGCCTCCTGGGTGAGAGCCAGGTATCCTAGCCACTAGACCATACCGGATTATGTAAGGACATTGTTGAAAATTTAAGAAATAGTGAGCTACTGTACATCAATTATAATATATTTATATATTGTAAATATTTTTATATATCTAAAATATGGTGTAGTTTTCAATAATGCTATATTATAACAATCCTGCAAAAATCCGTTATAAAAGACTTAATAATAAGTAAAATTACTATTTTATCTTATATCCAATAATATAATTATTATAGATAAAGTTATAATAATTGCTGCTATAAAACATAAATATTATGTATATGTATTACAAAAAAAAAAAAAAATTCGTGAAAGCGTGACAAAAAATATTAATCATAAAGAGAATCGAACTGTCGAAAGTTAACCAATACATACTTGACGATAAATTTATTGCATTTAATCACATATTTATCGATTATTGACGTAAAAATAATAATAGTAAAATATATCATTGGGCAAAAGATTTGTCAGAAGTGGGATTCGAACCCACGCCCTCAGAGAGGACCAGAACGCCCCATTCACTCGGTCTTGAACCGAGAAGGTTACGAACCTTGAGTCTGGCGCCTTAGACCGCTCGGCCATCCTGACACTTGCTTGTGCGTATTTTAATAATCCATATAACGCGCATACATGTGATAAAATATATATCAAGTTTCAATATGTAAAAGATTTGCATAAATAAATATCACATTTCCGACAGATAGTATACATTATGTAAAAAAATAAGTTATAATACTTATAAATTTTGCCGAAAAATTTTTCCTTTGATAAAATACGAAACATTATGCAAAATTTTAAATAAATTCATAGACACTTATTTTTTTTTATAATGTTCATTTATAATGTTGTTACGAGCAAAAGAATTTGTCAGAAGTGGGATTCGAACCCACGCCCTCAGAGAGGACCAGAACACTCGGAAAACTCGGTCTTTAACCGAGAAGGTGTGAACCTTGAGTCTGGCGCCTTAGACCGCTCGGCCATCCTGACAGTTGAACTCATGCTCGTTAAAATCATCTCATTAGAATGACTGCTTGAATATATATAATATATATTTATATTGCATTCAAAAAATATAAAGATATTTTAATATTATTGTAAAGTACACAACTTGAAGAGCATTAGATAACAAAAATATATAAAACTGTAAAAGATATAAAAAAAAAAATTTCGTGACGACAAAAGATGTTTCCGCCCGGGATCGAACCGGGGACCTTGTGCGTGTGAAGCACACGTGATAACCACTACACTACGGAAACTTGTCGAAAGTACTTCTTCTAACATGGCAGATAAAGCGTATATAAGAATTTTAATAACAAAATTCCGTAATGTAACTTGTCAAAACGCATGTTCTGTTTATATATAAAAAAAAATGAAATAATTAATAAAAGATAATTAGTGCAAATTAATACAAAACGCAAGAAATATAAGAAAAAAAATTCAAGTACATTATAAATTGCATATACCTTTCTCTTCTATTAAGTTATATAATTTATGAATAATAACTATTTTTTTAACTATATATAAAACTAACGACTTCCCTCTGTAATGAATAAAAAAAAATTGTAATAATAGATTTAAAGAAATATAATGCCGTTACATCGGCAAATCAATTCCTGGAATTCGCACGATCATTCGTCACGAAATGCATAGTCGGTATGCTGGAAATATTTTAGTATCCTTTGAATTGTGTATTGTAAATTGCACGTATATATGATACTAAATTGGACCATCGCTTCGATGGATCCGCGGAATTCCCACCGTCTCGAGATACGTCATGGTACGAAGATTTACATTCCGATCCAGATAATAATATCGCGTTACGATTGTAATTATCTGTGAATTATAGTACTCGGATGTGCTCAGTTCATCTCGTTGACGATTGTATTTCTTATATATGTATATGTAATATATTCTTCCTGCCGTGAAAACACATATAGAGATGATTGCAATGATAACTGTTTGGATAAATGATAAATATCATGTTTGAGCAAAAATGTATGGCATCAAGACAGTCGTGAATTATTAAGGATATCCGACAATCTTCCTCATGTCCCTGGACGATTCGTGCGTGTGCAAAAATTGCAAACGTTAATTTCCTTTCTCATTTCGAATTTCGTTCGCCTGGTGCCTGCCCTGTCCATTTTTCTCGAAACTCAATTAATGCGTCTCTTCCGTGAAACATTTTTTACCACAAAAACGGTCTGTTTTAGTCAAAAAGAGAAGACTCCTCTTATTACTTATACATGTACTTAAAATTCTCTTGCAGAAATAATATAAGAGTTATTAATGTATGTGAATAACGTAATAGCTTTATTGGAAGTAATAAATTACTGCGCGGCGAAGTGTTCATCATATTATCAAAGTCGGACAATTATTTAACAAATTATACAGCATTTAAAATATTTAATTTAATAAACAAGAAACACAATTGATTTAATAGCTTATAAAGGAATGGATATATTTGAAGCTGCAAAAAAATGGATATGACAAAAAAATTAATCTTGCGACAAATTGTGCGACAAATTGTTTGACAAATATAAATGAATTTACCGTTCAATGTGAATATTACATAGTTTCTACATAGATTTATGAAAAAAAATGAGATACTTAAAGTTGCAAAAAAGTTTGTTTACTAATTGTAAGATATACAGAGTAATAAAAACTTTTTTTTATTTTACCATGATTTCTCAAGAACGAATATAAATATCAATAAGTTTATTTTTTTTAGATGGTATGTAATTAATTTCTCTGCAACTGAATCTAAATTTTGTCAAGAAAATATACTTGGTCATATAAACAAAAATTTAAAAAAGCCGAAAATTCCTTTTTTTTGCCGCCACTTTGTCAATTTTTTTTTTTAGCTTCTGTTTCAGAATCAATAAAGAAATAATTAAAGAAAGAGCATGCCGTTGATAGCATCTCGAAATTTTGCATGTAGGCTGTTGAATCGTAGTAAAACAAAAAAAAACCTTTTTCGTAAATCTATATAGAAACTAGTACTAAACAGTTACTTTGTTTATATTGAGCGCAAGCGATTTATCGCATCTATTTTCTTTTTGCTTTAAAGATATCCTCTCTCCTTAAGATTCACGTATTATTATCGTACATATGTACGTATTGAAGCCGATTTATATAATGTTAGCAGAAAAGATAAGAGCAAGCGAAAATAAGGAATACATTTCGAATCTATATTGGTATATTTTAATTGACACACCAGCTGATCGCGTGGTCGTTAAATCTGAAATTTATTGGAGGATCGAAACGCAGGAGCTTCAATAAAAAGAAAAAAAACGTTACAAGCGTAAAAAGCCGTTAAACGGCTTAGTCTTATCGTAATGTAGGGATTACATAAAGACTTTTATTTATTGAACGCGGAAAGAATTCAGGTTGCTCGCGTCTTTATATGGTAGAATAAAAGCGGTGCGGTCAAGGGGGGATCGCGTTTCATCGTATATATAAATAATACAAAAATAATACCAAAAAAGTTATAAAATCCGCTATTGTGTCCGATGATGCGCTCCAACACACAATGCAATGTCTCGTATTCTTTCGAAATCTGGATCACCCCCGTTTTCACGCGTGCCGAGCATGATAACGGTGCTGGACACTAGAATTGATCTCGGATCGATCATCGGTACCAAATACGTCGGGAAATTATGCGCGTCTTCAAGATGCGGCTACCAATTCGTGGGCATCGTACCGTGAAATGTACTTCTCGGCCACTTAGCGGGCGCAAATTTGGAACAACGATTCGCACATATTGATATACGCACATGCACGTTCGGAAACACATGTGTAATCGCACGATCCGTCACCCTCAGTAGATATTGATGCTGCGGAGGTCCATTTACAATCTCCCCTTACCTGATTTTACCGTACCAATTCCGATAACATTTTGAGAATAAAACACTTTATGGTATTACTGATAAATATACTTCGAAATATATTCGTTCAGTTATAAATTTCACGACAAATTTGATGTTTCTTTAACGAAAGTTTGATAAGAGATTATTATTTGTCTCAATTTTTATCGATATTAAAGCAATATCGATAGAAACTGAAATGCCATTTTTCAAAATCCTTGACTTTTGACATCTATGAATCAGAGGACAGTTGATATATGTTCGAAATACTTTATATATTTAAATCAACATCATATGAGATATATTTATTTCAATTTATAAATCTCAATATAAATCCATTCCACTCTTATTAATTGTATTGTATTGTATTGTATATTTAGTTAAATCAGATCTATGAAAGTCGTCTTTGGAAAAATGACACAAGTTTGTAAGAAATTTTTGTTTTATAATGAATTATTAACGCGTTCGAAAAATTAATCAGCTAGAAGAAACGAGAATTTATATGCATATAGCATCGATTTATTTACAAAATTACAATAAATTATATTGGAAGTGGATTGATATCTTAATCAACTCAAAATCCAGAATCATATGTGTGACTAATGTCAAACAATGCTAAACTAATGCTAAACAATCGAGACTATTCTATACATTTGACGAAATGATATTAATTCTCGCTCAACCAAAATCATTTCATCAATCTTTTGCTTTTACAAGTTTTTAACATCGTAAAGTATACATAATCTCTCTTATATATTATACATATATATTTCATATAATATAATATACATATATATCTCTTTCTTTCCTTTCTCTCTCTTTCTTTGCCCTCTTCATTTATAAAATATAAATAAAACATATATTTTTGACAGAAGAGATTATGTATACTAGAATAATTTCTGTAAAAGTGGCATAATTAACGTTTCAAATACATAAAAGAAAAGAAAAATTCGTCATATGGATAAATGCATTACAAGTGATATAAATAATTTGATAGACAATTCAGTGCGAGAGCTAATAATACGGAGATCGGTAGAGTCCATCTTGAATGTATCTTTCGAATACATACATGAACAATACTAATGTAATCGGGATGCATCGATATTATGCGTGTTGTGTATCAATAGTCGCGTTAATAGGAAATACAATCAATGGGCAGAATCCACGATGTTGTAGGAATCCATTCTTCTGGTATATCCTAGTAAGATTTACTGTTATTCAATAACTACATTTTTAACGGCCTAATTCCAACTAAAACAATATAATTTCCTGACTGTATCGCATCCGCATTTAAAAATTATTTGGCCAAAATTAATTCTCGAATGCCGAATGCTACCATTTAATGTATATAATTGAGCATCGCTATTCGCAAAACGTGTAAAGATCTAAATTTTTTTGTCACGAAACAATCATGCTGTATCTTATTATATCGTGAACGTGATAAATATTTATAGTTGCTAAAAATAATAACGCGATATTATGAGCAGCATGCAAATACGCTTGCAAACGAGATTCCTAGATATTGTTTTCCTAAATATTAATAATTACGAGCTTGGAATTACGATTACATATACCGTGTAATAAATAATGCAACGTGGGTAAATCGCATGCAACTAAATGTACATAGTAAATCCGGCTTTGTGAATATGAATTTTATCTTTTAACGAGTGTAATAATTATTAAACTAATTAATTGCGTATAAACAAATATCTAATATTAACACCTACCTAATATCAACACAAACGTACCAATATTAATGTATTGGTACATCTCGCAAAGTGTTAAGATTAATATGTTCTTAGGACATAGCGATACATATCCTACAAAAATACAGAATAAGTATATATATATATATATAATCACTCTTCAGGACTAAAACTTATCACACGTTATATAATCCATATAAATTATGAGATTACTATTTTTTTCTCCGTATTTAAAAGCGAAACTTAATTCTATATACAGTCTGTCGGATTTTAATACTTATGAAGAGAATGATATTATGTAGAAATATAGAATTTATAAAAAGTGTATATTTAATAAAAGATTTAAACAAATCACTCTCTACCAATACGCAACAAAAAAGAAATTAACGTTTCTTAACAAACTCACTTTTTTCTTTTATCGCAGTCGGTCGTCTTTTGAATTATCAGCTTATTCCGCTGTCTCGTTACCTTAGTTGTCGAACGAGTATTGGGCGCGATTTGTTTTAATCCCTGCTGTAAAGCTCTACAGGGACTAGCTACACGTGGGGGTGTTGTACCTTTGAGTAGAGCCTCGACGTCCGCCAATCGTTTCTTTAGAGCCCTGTTCTCTTTCTTGCACCTCGCGAGTTCGGAATCCTTATCCAATCTCTCGTGACCGGAGCTGCTCGTCTCCTCCGCAAAGTGCCTGAACACATGATGCAACTTGTCCTCGTACTGTTTTTGCATCAAGACCATTCGTCTCTCGGCTTCCATCAGCCGCCAATCCTGATTCGCGATGTGCGTCTCCAGCTCCGTTATTTGAACTTCTAGATTTTTCGAACTTTCCTTCAAATCAATTACCTTGCGAAAGTACTTCATAAATAACGTTATTATTTCACCGTGAGAGAGTTTTTTCAAGCGTTCCATTAGCATCCTTTCGCCCTTCTCACGTTGAGATTGATTCTCATCGAAATCTTTTCGTCCGCAGATCATTTCGTTTTTGTGCTCAATCATTGCATCGATAGCCTCGATGGTTTCGCCGCATTCCAGCAATTTACGTTCCTCGACCGTAGTCAGGGTTCTCTCCTTTTGGAATTTTTCATCCAAATCACATTTCTCGTCTACCAAACAGTCCCGGGTGTGCCTCAAATTTCTAATCTCGTGCCGTAGCGCTTCTTTCTCATCTGTGTCCGCGGTTCTCTCCAAATCCATTGATTTTTCTTTCAAAACGTGGTCCAGATGAGATATTCTCGCACTTACATCTAATAAATTCTTCTTCTTATCCGAGCAATCAGTCTTCGATTTCGTATTATGTTTCTCATCTTCACTCTCCGATTGCATTTCCTTCAACTTGGAAGCAGTTAAGTTGTATTTTTCCTCGAGCTCGCGAATCTTCTGTTGATCCTTTGCAAGTTCTTCTTCCAATTGCTTTTTACGTTCTTCTTCCCGTTTTAGTTGCCGCTTCAATTTATCCATCTGCTTCTTGGAAGTATTTAGTGACGCTTCAAGCTCCAAAACTTTTTTCGCTGAATCGCCCGCAATTTGCTTTATCTTGTCTATATCCATTAATCGTTTCTCGTAGTGTATCGCCATATTTTTCATTAGTTCGATTTCCTTCTTGTGTACCGATTTCTCCTCAGGTTCTCTGTACATAGATGCATTTTCTGCCTGCACTAATTGTGTTCTCTTATTATAATATTCTTCTTCCAATTTACTTCGTTTACGTTGGAATTTTTGCTTCGCATTAGCGCGTGTATCAGAATTCTTAATCATATCCGCTATAAAACGTTGCTTAATTTTAATTGTCGTTTGCAGTTCTTCAATACGTTTATGCGCTCCATCCAAATTTGATTGAATTCTCTTTACTTGTGTTTGCTTCGCTTCATTATTTAATGTTAGGGCTTTCAATTCCTTAATAGGTTCAGGTATCTCTGTGGTCTTGAGAGCATCAAGTAACAAATCTGGTGAATTGTCATTTTGTATTGCAAGAAAATTTTCATTAATGGCATTATCATTAATGTTAATTTCCGATTCACGATTATCTAACACACATGGTTTAGTATATTCTGACATATGGTTTCCTAGAATTTGATTGGGACAAGGTTTTAAACTGTCGTTGAAGACTAATACCTCATTACACATATCAGAACCAGGAAGCATAGAATTTCTCCTAGAATTTGGATTCCTTAATGGTATAGGATGAGCTACTGGTACATAATTATTATTCACGGATCTTGTCACTGGAGGAGATATAAGCCCGATATTTGTTTCTCTGAAATCGTCCTTTTTAGAACCGACAATTATATCTGTTTCTATTTTAAACTTGTTCATAAACTCATCCAGCTTCTCTAGAAAATCTGGACTTTCTGAGCTCGCATCACTTTGATCCTCTTCGTCGTCTTCATCTTCGTCCTCATCGGCTTCGGATAGTTCGCTCTCCGAACTGGAGGTACAATTGGAATTAAGCTTAAGTTTTACTTGATTTGCAGATTCATCCGTTTTTTCATCAGTTTCTGTTACTTCCTCAATACATTCCAATGATCTCCTTGTATTCTCTGCATATCCTTGCAAACTAGTGGTCTCATCGCTAGCTATACATTCCTCGTACTCTTGTTTCATGCACAACCATTGCTCAATTTGATCTTGTTCGGTATGTGGCAAGATATTATTAGTCATGAGTTTTGTAAATAGACCTTCCGCATTAGAGACCAACTTAGACCATTGAGCAGCTGCAAATTCTAATCTAAATAGATCTGCGCTAGAACTACGTTCTCCAGAAGTAGCAGGTGTCATTGTGTCGTGCGTCTCGTCACCGGCCTGTTCGTTTTCCTCTTCGATTAATTGATGACGTTCGTGATCACGATAGGATGGCATCGTCTCAACGTATGCCGCATAACATTGATGATTATTCAATATTGCTTGATATTGACTCCATGGCCCGCAATGCATCATTTTATCCGCCTCATATAATCTCATGCAACAAAGGACTTGTCTGCTCAAACAAGGAAATTTGAACCTACAAAATTTTCATTTATTTCATTGTTATGCTTAAGCAAAATTATTGTGACAATAGAAACTATTGTGTTTCAAATTAATATCCCATGTGTAATATCATATTGTATAAAAATAAGATTGCCACAAAATTGTAATAAAATTGTTTGGATAATAAATTAATATTTAGGGTACTTACTAATAAAATTTCTAATTTATTTCCCACGTCTCAGAATCATGTTCCAAAATTTCTTGTTGTACAGAAAGGTTGCACAACGCATATTAAACGATGATTTTTATATTTCACGACTTCACAAATAGAAACCACGAGGGTTTAATCTTCACGAAATCTGTTTGTTAAAAACTTTCAAGCTAGCAAAAGAGTCAATGCCAACTATATCGAGCAATGTCCACAGAATAGAATTCCAAGAATGAAATTGTGTATGTGTGTATATATATATACTACATACAATACTACGTCATAAAATGAGTCATTTCCATAAAAATGACAATTAAATATTTATTTGCGAAACATCGGAATGACAATAAATAACGAAATTAAAAGGCGCTCCACTATTTATATTACACGATACATCAACGACGTCAGGTTAGGCACCGACGAGGTACTATTAAAGATGACCAACCTTATGGAAGTGTGCAGTAGTGTGGTTGAAAAAAAGAACTCGCTGCTGGTATGTACAATTTTTGCATTATCGGTAATAAACTTGTGATTTCATAGAATAAAATACTCAACATTCGTGTTCGTTACCAGAGAGAAGCCTGAGAGAGACCACGCCGACATTTTTCGAAAGACGCCTTTTCTATCTCGTACAGTAGCGTCAACTAGATCCATTTTAGAGCCGGCGGAACTACATAACCAGATTTACTTTTCGGTGCCACGGTAAAACGGCCGGTTGGTGCATGTCCGTGTTAAATATACAATTGTGGATCAAAAGAGAAATATTATGGATTTATTAATGTCTTATTAGCTACGCGTGATGTTTTGTCAGTCTATGTATATACTACAGCGATAATAAATTATAATTGAAGTATTTTTATGTATATGCGCATGTAAAATTAATAATAAATTTTCTTAAATTAATTTTCTTAATAATTTTTTTCCTAATTCTTAAATATAACGTGTAGAAAATATTTGTAATAAATTGCTGTCACTTTTTTCTTATTTTTGAAACAAAATTAAGTATTAAGCATTTTAAACATTATCAAATTATGCTTTTAATTTATTTAGCTTTCTATTATTATTTTTTTTTTTTTTATAATTATATATTAATTATATTTTTCTACGATTTTAACCGTGTTCTATTGTTTTTTAAGAAGTTTTAATTGTTGATAGCATTAATCAATTTTTGCATGTTTATATGATTGCCGACTGTCAGATTTTCGCAAAATGTCATACAATGTCAAAAAATCGCGGTGTCTTACGCAATATTGTTTTTTTAACGTATAAAATGTTAAGAGTGTTTTTTCTATCTTGTGGTATTTCACTCAGAATTTTAATTAAAAGGCCGGAAATGCGAAAATAATATTTTTCTCGGGACATTTATATTTGTAATTATACGACATTAATTTCAAAAACGACTAAAGTTCCCTTTTCTCTATTATTGTTTTTTTATTTTTTACTTTCATTTTATTTGAAAAAATATTAATATAAAAAATATAACTATAGTATCTCTCTTAGTCTGACTCTTCCCCTTCGACCTGTCCGGCATGGGTGACCCTACCGGTAACTATTTTAACGTTTTTGAGTGAAGCAAGTTTGAACGCTTTGAGAGCAATTAAACCTAATTTACTATGAATATATATTTGACCAAAAATAGATATTTGAAAGAATCTGATTAATATAAATAATATAAAGTACGTTCTCCATCTTTGACGTTATTTTGTCTTTAAAATACAGAAGATTATTCTTTGCCCTGATTAATCAATCATACGATTACTAAAGTATTTCATTCATTAATCTATATAATTCAAGTATTTCATTCATTAATCTATAATAATTCAAGTATTCCTAATAACCCCCAAGACGAAATATATGACGCCATTAATATCGATCTCAGAACGATCACAAACTTGCTTCATTCGAAAACGCTATATACATTACCGCCGGCATAGCTCTCAGGTTCGTTAAAGCACACAAACCTCCTCACCCGGCAAATGCCATCGTTAAGGTGGAGATACCATCGAGGAGGAAAAATTTCTATTTTAATAATTTTTTTTTATGATATATAGGTTTCTTTCAATAAACAGGTTTTACAAATATGCCTAATAAAAAATATAATATACAAAGAATTATATAAAATGTATATAATATATAATTAGAAATTATATAATGTATAATTACAAAATATATTACAAAAGACTTAAAAACATATTGTACAAAGTATATTACAAAATATATTACAAAATATATAAATATGTATTACAAATATATTATAATTAATTCTATATATCTGATATAGAATTAATTATATTACAAATATATATTACAAAATATAATATAAAGGTTAATATAAAATATAATTTAAAATGTAATACAAAATAATTTATTACACGAAAATGTCCGAAATATTCATA